GGCCGGGGGTCCTGCCAACCCCACTTTCCTGTGCCGTTGGAGGTCCCGCAGACTACTCTTCTGCTGGGGGTCCTGCCAACTCCATGTCTTGTCCCGTTGGAGGTCCCGCAGACTACTCTTCTGCCGGGGGTCCTGCCAACCCTATGTCCTGTGCCGTTGGAGGTTACACCGACTGCTCTCCTGCCGGGGGTCCTGCCGGCCCTTTGTCCTTTTCCGTGGGGGATTTTGCCGACACCTGTCCCACCGGCTCCGGATTCGATCCGGTCGACACCGGCTCCTGCCCGGCCTCCGGAGTTGTCCGGTCTTCTCCCCTCCTCGAACTCTGCCTTGCCCCCGGGCCGTCCGCCCGAAACCCCCTTTTTGAACTCTGCCTTGCCCCCGGGCCGTCTGCCCGAGACCCCTTCCTCGAACTCTGCCTTGCCCCCGGGCTGTCCGCCCGAGACCCCCCTCTCCCTGGTGTGTCTAATTTCCTGATTATTTTCACCTGTCACCCCTTCGGTGTCTCCTGTGCTAATCAGCGTCAGTCCCGCCCCTGATTATTCCCACCTGTGTCTTGTTACCCTGTGTTTAAATTCCCCTGTCTCCCAGTGCTCAGTGTCAGTTCGTTTTCGTCTCTTGTCATGTTCAGGTCTGTGTGCTATTGTCTCTTGCTATGGTCAGGTCTATGCTCCTTGTGCTTTTGAAAAGTGTTATTCCTCACTACGTGAGCGCTTTCATTTTTTGTTCTCTATTTTTGTCATCTCGGCTAGAGATTCGATAGTTACCTTTTTTGTTGTTCAATGCTGTTTTGGAAAATAAAGTATCCAACAAATTACCTCTGTCTCCCGGGTCTTGCAATTGGGTCCTACATCCTAAGTGTCTGAGTTCGTAACAGGCTTTGTTTGAATATTTTTTGCGTTCATATTTTTAAATCAATGTTTGATTCATTACTTTCAAAATGAATCAACTTATTGTCAAAATTACTTTTATTATTGGTATCATATGATTTGTGTGACCCAGGATGATTTGTCTGTTTTTGTATCTTACAGTAAACATCACCCCTATGACCTTTTGCTGGCGTTCGTCAAATGTTTATGTTTTTGTTGTGTTGAGCTTAACTGCAGCACGGAGCAAATTTATTTATTGTCTCTCGGTCTGAGTCATCTCTGTGAGGTTTTTAGTTCCTTAATAGCAGTGACGTCAGAGGTGTACACCGCATAACCGTCTGTGGCTGATCTGTTGGTCGGGGTCGAACAGATGCTGGTCGTGAAAACATCTCTTCCCGTAATTCTGATAAACAGATGAGACGAAAACAAGATAAAGGTCACATCTGTGATCAGCTGGATGTTACTGCTCAGATTAAAGTCAATAATAAAATGGTTACTAGAGTGCAAATAAAAATGCTTAAATAATACTTGAAACAGTGTATGTACTCAAGGTGACAACGCTATTAAAGAGGCCCAATTATACTTTTTGAAGTATTATCTTTTATACAGGGCATTATATATGTTGTTGTGCATGTAAATGGTCTGCAAAGTCTAAAATGTCAAAAACTCCCCCCTGCCAGAAAAGCCTCCATTGGACTCCTGTGTTGTCTTGCATAATATAATGACATCACTATGTAACATTCTTTCTTCTATTGGCTAGAACTTCAAAACATTGTTCGTGATAGGCTAAGGGCGGGACATTTCTAAGCGGTTGACCAATAGCAACAGAGCAATCCTAACCGATCAGAGCAGACTGGGCTCTGGTTTCAGACAGAGGGTAAAAAGAGGTGCTGCAGCACAGAGAAAAACAAAGAGCTTTTTGAACATTAAAGCATGGAGACATGTCACAGCAGAGGCACAAAATACAAATATGAACCTAAATATGTTTGCATACTGGGGCCCCTTTCAAGCAAATACAGTTTCCTGTAAATATAAAAGTAAGATTTCACTTATCATAAAAGACAGCTGCCCCTACAGCCTCAGCAACATTTAGGAATACGTCTGCAGTCGTTGCATGCAACTTCCTAAAAGGGTAATGTGCCAAATAAAGACATATCGTTGTTCAAATGACCACAAAACAGGGGAAGACTAAACAAAACTGTTCATGTTCAGACAAGCTTATCGTCTTCAGACAGACATGCCTTTTGCTAACCCAGTGACCTTTCCGCCGCATCCGTCACTACACATCACTCTGGGCCTCAGAAAAAGATACTAAAGTTTCCTTAAATGTTCCATTGTGGTAACTCAGTGCAGGGAGGAAAATAAATATTGACTACCATTTATCAACCAGCAAATTCAGGGGCAAGAAGAGTGGGGTAAAAATACAAAGTATATTTGAGTAATGCACTAATACAGTATATATCAAAAGATATACAAACATACAAAGGTGTTCCCTAATGTAACCTTTGGATCTCTTATAACAGAGGTAAGTGCCACAGAGTGACTCAGATCCTGTGTAGGGGTGTTATGTCAGCGGTTTACCCTGCGCATGTTAAAACAGAAACTAAAGGCAACCCACATTCCTTTTCAAGCGAAGAAGATGTCAAGTGTGGTTTTTTTTTGGTTGGTAGGCTTGGGGAGGTGTTTGCGACTTCAGTACACCCACGCAGCAGCAGCAGCAGCAGCAGCAGCAGAGCGAGGTGACAGCAAACAGCGATGAGATGAGAAAGCAGAGAGTACAGTGAGAGAGAGAAGTGGGATTTATTTCTGTCAAGCTGGTTGTTGTGGAACGATAAGAAAGAATGGGGAAACTTTTTCTCTTTTTCCTTGTTTTTGTTCTCTGTTTGAGTGGCACTCTTCAGAAAAAAGGTAAGAGTTTCATCCTTCTGTGTATTTCTTTAATCATACTTTACAATTAACGTATTCGGAAACATTCATCTGTCTTAAATACTCTTTTTTTAACTTGTGGATAGTTTTAATTACAGTCAGTTTTACTCAAGTAATGTTTTTAAATTCCAAGTTAAATACTTTCCTTGTTTTTTTTCTCCATTTTATGGAAACGTTTTCTACTCCAATGCATTTCAGGGTGGAAATAATGATTTTTAAATGTTTTCTCTACATTATTCTGAAAGCTTATTACATGTTACTTGTTAGACGCTTTTATCCAAAGCAATTTACATACTCAGTACTGTGGGAAATCCCCACAGGAGCAATTTGGGGTGTCTTGCCCACGGACACAACGACATGCTGACTGCAGTGGGGTTTGAACCTAGTTAAACCTAGTTTAACCTAGTTTGTGGTACTAAATAAACAGGAGGATGAGTCGTTGAGCCAATTCTCATACTTTTAAATTCAAATAAAAAATAAAACCCTCCTAGATCAGATTGAAATTCATTGTCAATCATTACTTTAGGGCTACTTTTAATGTTGGAAGTAAACTTACATTTAGCTGAGAATACTTTCATACTTTTACTAACTGCAAGTGAAGGATTTGATACTTCTTCCACCAGAATCAGATGAAGAAATAACAAGCTACTACGTGTACGTGGAACAGGCACTCATTTTATGGCTATAAGTTATTGCAACACATGGAAAGATTTATTATCAGTACTACAGCTGAAATGACGGTGACGCAACCTCTTTGGGCGGTGGACTGAAGGCGTTGTTTCTGCTAATGTTTTGCTATTTTATGACATTTTATACACAAGATGCCAATCAAACAACGTATATGAAGAATACAACTAGTTGCAATCGATTGAGTATATTTCAGCTATTGTGAGGCAATAAACAATTGGATTGTAACTTATTTTCTTGTTGTTGTTGTTGCAGGGAAACAGGAAAAGAACAACAGCAACAGCTCTGCCGTTGCAGGGCCAAGAACATTTTTTGGGGAGCCAGCCATTAAGACCAAGTCCTTGTTTGTCCTAAATGAGACACAGGCTCCCCTTCCATCTGAATCCCCTCCAGCACTGCAGTCCCTTAGCAACAGCACAGTGGGGTTCCTGGACGGGGTCCTGAGCACCCGGGTAATCCCCATCATTTACATGTTGGTCGTCGCTGTCGGGATCCCGGCCAACGTCGCCATCTTGTGCACGCTGGTCACAAAAGTCAGGAAGGTGTCCTCCGCCATCCTGTACTGCAGCCTGGCCGTCTCCGACCTCTTCCTCCTCCTCTCCCTCCTCTTCAAGGCTCAATACCATTTCCATGGAAACAACTGGGTGCTCGGGGAGGCTGCGTGTCGGTTGGTCACGGCCTGTTTCTATGGCAACCTCTACTGCTCGGCCCAGACGCTGGCCTGCATCAGCATCAAGCGCTACCTGGCCGTGGTGCACCCGTTCATGTACAAAAGCCTCCCCAAAAGGGCGGTCACTGCGTGGGTCACCGTGGCAGTGTGGGGGGCGTTCGGGGCCGCCGTGGTCCCCGAGCTCCTGGTGCAGCAGAGCTATTGGCTCCCTGAGGTGCGACGCATCACCTGCCATGACGTCCTGCCCGTGTTCTCCGAATCCCACGTCTTCCTGCTCTACTACAACCTGTTTCTGACCGTCTTCGGCCTCCTAGTGCCGCTGGTGGTTACGGTTGTGTGCTACGGTCGCATCGTGTGTGAGCTCAACCGATCTCACCACGACTGGGCCATGTACATCCAGGCCAGCTCTCTGGTGTTTGTGATCTTCCTGCTGTGTTTCACTCCCGCTGGAGTCCTGCACCTCCTCCATTATGCGCAACTGTTTGTGTACGGGACAGAGAGTTTGTACGTCCATTTTAAAGTGGCGGTGTGTTTGTGTTGCCTCCATGCATGTTTGGACCCTTTCCTCTTCCTCCTGATGTCAAAGTCTGTAGGGACAAGGCTTTACTTCAGGGCCTTTAAAGGCAAAACTCTGAGCTTGTCCGTCTAAAAGCGTATTTATGTGTTACCAAAAACTGTTTGTTGCAGATAAAGAGGGAGTTTTTTCTTTGGGGCTGGAATCCAAAGAGAAATAAAAGGACTGTAGTTATGATGCAAGCAATGGAACAACCTTTTTGTTGCTTTAAATGTGTTGTCCGGAATAATATTTTTTTATATAGCAATACTTCTCATGTGTGAGAATACGTGAAAGAGATTGAATGGAGATGCTTCATTTGTTAATGGATGTGTTTGTAAATATGAAAAGAAAGTATGCTTTTTTTAAATAATTAACATGATATCGTTAATAGTTTTGATTCATGGCTTTACAACAGTCTTCCTTGTGGAATGTTTCAGTATGTGTTGAACACTTGCTGTGAGGGGCATTAATTTAATACCTATCTGACAAGCTATAACATGAACTGTCTTTAGCCTCCAAGGCTTTTCTGTGTTCTCGTCATATATGGAGCTGTGATGACTAACTATGACTAAGCTATATGCTGTGTTTAACTAAGCTATATGCTGTGTTTAATGTTTACTTGGATTTCTTGTAGCGCCTAGAAGTGTCTTAAGCCAATTTAGCTTGAATCCCTCCTCATACAGACAAACTAAATGTAATTTGTCTACAACTTAGAACATCTCTGTATAGTATATTCAGATATGTTCCCAAATATGTATTCAAATACGCTTTGTTTCTCCTATCTTTTAATAATGAACCTCCCTCCACTGAAGGGAGTATGCATTTCCTGCCCAGCCTGTACCAGGATGTAGGATACACACACACCAACAGCATACACTAGACTAATTAACATAGAGTTACAAAAATACAATAAAAAAAAAAAGGAAATCTTGTGACTTCCTCTTAATCAAAAATAAATATAAGTCTGTGGCTTGAATTTAAATATTAAATACGCTTTGGGTAGTGCAATCAGTGTTATGTTAACCAACATGTAGGACATTTTGTAAGGCACTGCAGGGACTTAACCACTGAAAGTGCACCATATAGAGCACTTTATCTTTTTTATATACATAATATACTTTTCCAACATGATCGGCCATTAATACACCCCAAATGTATATCTTTATTCAAAACAAATCAGGTTATTTAAGGCACAGATTAAGTGTGCTGTATCTGTAATGTTGTTTTGTAAATGTTATACACTTTATTCCAATTGTACTAAGGTGGAAGTTGTGGGCTCTTTTTTTAAAAGGGATTGTTATCCATTTAAATGTAGTAATTTCAACTTAAAAAATGCAGATAACACAAGGCTTTTATAAGGTGTAATGTTAGATTCAATAGTAAGTCGAACAGCCTGCAGACTAAACTACAAACATTTTAACGTGAACAAACACATTGAAAATACCCCTCTAGCTAGCTATCTTGCTAAGCTAGCTAGCTAGTTAGATACACTGGCCTTACTACACGATTTACGTAGTCCATGTTTTCCAATCATTAAGTAAATTTGTATTTACCTAAATTCGCAAGTTAAAGGGGACTTATCATGCAAAATGCACTTTGTGATGTCTTTCATACATAAATATGTGTCCCCGGTGCGTCGGGGAAATCACGCAGCATCAGAAAATAAAACCCTCTCTCTTTTCCTCCGTACCCAAATCTTTTAAAAACAGGGTTTACAATGAGCGGATACAGATTTGCTGCCGATCTGACGTCAAATCGGCAGCAGACCCACAGAAAAATGCTATCAGAAACAATGCCTGACATGTTTTGGACATAATCTCGTCTTTGTTTACATTAGCCAGCCTCGCTAACGCTCAGAGCTAACCTGTACTGTAGAGCACATGTGTTTAAAAAGCAGGAAATACAAGAAGGAACATTTGAGCTCCATACTGTTTCAGAAATAATCCTTGATGTGGTTTAGAACAGGATGGCGTTTTATCACAGCAGAATTTAACTTTATCTCTGGTAGAATTCTGATCAGGCATTAGCTCCGCCTCCTCTTTTGTTTTTCAAGCTAAGGATCCAAGATCCGCGTTTCTCTAACAGGGCTGCAAAAGAGGGGTATGAGCAGTATGAGGCATGGCTACAATGGGTGATCTGTTTGGTATTTTAAGCAAAAAACTTCACAGACATGTTTTGTATAGGTATGGCCCTACAATATATGTTTCCAATATAGCATAATAGGTCCACTTTAATTTACATAAATACTGCAATATCACA